GGTGTGTAGGTATTTGTAGAAATATACATTGGGCTAGATTGTCGTATGCACACTATGCAGATTGTGCTTTAATAGTAACTAGGGTGCGCTTTCATTCGAGGCTCGTCTTTACAGATCTAACTATAAGTATTACGGGAAACATGTCCCATATGAGATCTATTGCAATGATTTGTTTTTTGTTGTAAATTATACCTATACCTACTCAAAGGATTGAATGTACCTATATTGAGCAGTGGTGGTCAAACCCGGATTAAGACCTTCTGGGGCTCAGGGGCCAATACATGGTTGTGCCCACTCAACCCATCAATGAAAAAATGGCCATGTGTCCCATGATATATATTTTACATTTTCATGTAGTTTCTAATCTCAGCTAGTCAGCTCTAATATTACTAGATAATATTGTTGATGGTATTTTCGTAAGGTATCGTTGTCATATGGTTACTTGTTAACATTTAACAAAAACATATTTACGATTCATATATTTTCATTTTTCACTGTTCCTATATGCAGAAAAAATATCGAGTAATGTGCTTTGGATTGTTTTTTAAATGATTTCTTTTTGTTTTCAAACTAAATTAGATACCAAAAATCAATTTGATTATTTATAAATGGTCAAAGTTGTATATGAGTAATTATTGCTCAGAATATGTATTATTTTCTTCTGATTAATGTAATGAAAAAAACAAAAAATACTTATCTTTAAAATAAATTACACGACAGTAATAATATGTACGACACGAAAAATTAAACGGGCCGTGTGGTTTTTTTTATTTTTGATAAGACAACTGAGGAAAATATGGATAAACAACATCCACGTCAACAAGATCAAACCGTTGGTTTTCAAGCAAAATCGATTTGACTACCTGCATAATATTTACCTCCATAAAGAATTCGCTGAGCACGAATTATTCCGATCTCGACCTACCTCCAAGTCCGACGCAAGGTCCGAAGTCCTAGTTAGACGGATATAGTGGCAAAAGCTAGAATTTCCAGTGTTTTCGACAATTTGAAAAACCAATAGAACTTCAGTCATGAAAATCGTGAAAACGATAACGTCCAAAAATTTTCACCGCCCCATGAGATGTTTTCGCATAAAAAAAAAACAGTCAGAGTCTCGGGGAATGTGAAAAATCAAATTTTGTGAGCATGCTTGTAATTTACTAATTGGCATATTTAGATTTTAGGTACAAACCTTATGATATGAAATTCTTACCACACTTTCGATTTGAATTGTTCGCAAAAAAAAGATCGCATTTTGACTAAATTTATCAAAATCTCGAAAATTATCAATCATCGTAATTAATAAATTCTAAAATGTTCAGTTTTTATAGCTAAGGATTGAAAATTTAAAAAAAGATTCTCATAAATAGTTCATACTGTAGCCAAAAAATCTAAAAAATATATGAGCACAGTTATTTTTTACAGACATTTTATGTTCAAAATTGGGACGAAATTACATAGGTATTAAAAAACCTAGCATACCTACCTATTTTAGTTATTTTGTTGTGAGTGTATAATACTATTCGTGGGTACTTGAAACTTCTAAAGTACCTACACTATATTATATATCTATGATAGTATAAGGGTTTGTTATTGATGTTTAACGTGTTATAAGTACCTAATGGAGATTGTGATATGAATAATTTGGAATTTATTATAGGTCATTTTTTTTTTAATACCATAGATATGTATATAATATATGTCTTAAACCTAGACTGACATACCGTCTTCGCTCAAAATCGTTTTTCTTATACAATGATATTGTATCATTGAATTCAAATTTAATAGCATCCATTATACAGTGACCCACATGTAACCTACTGTATAGCAGAACGACATCCACTTACCCACCTTTTTAATTTTAAGTTAATTGATAAATGTTGTCAAAAATCAAACTTTAAATCAGGGATCGAAACCGTTTAAAATTTTAACGGTTACGGTTTTGATTTTTGAAAACGGTTTTCTACATTTTATGGTTTTGGTATAGGTTCTAAGATCGGTTTTTCAAATATTTGGTTTTGGTTTCGGTTTCAAAAATGGTTTTTAAAATTTATCGGTATCAAGAACTTTGATACTTTTTTTTTCTTTACAGAATAACTGCAGACCCGATTTTTACTATCTATTTACTATTTAGGGCTGAAAGCCCTAAAATATGTCCGATTTGTATAACTAGTGTAGGCACATACCAGGGCTTTGCACCCGAATCATTTATTCGGGTTTCGGGTTTCGGGTTAGG